TGTGTGTGTGTGTGTGTGTGTGTGTGTGTGTGTGTGTGTGTGTGTGTGCGAAGTAAGGTTAGAAAGTAAAACGCGAGATTCAGAGCCAATACGTTTACAGCGAAGCATTAGCACTGCGGCCCACTGCGCTGCACAGAGTCGGCTGCGTTGTGAGCTGCTTACTTTTCCGAGAACGTGATGCTTGGGCATGGAAATGTTCTCAAACCTCGTAAGTTGATATTTGAAATGAAGAAGTAAATTGAAAATGGTTTAGGTGTCTTAGGGCTTCAACTGATGGCACTGCAATACCTATGACCTAGGGTTCGAGTCGTGACGTGGCTGGATTTTCGATATTACACCTAGCTAGATCGAATTCGCCCACTGCCTGGAGGAACATTCCTGTAGCGGGATGTATTAACTGTCCGGGTGAGGCCGCGACCATGGCGAAGGTGCCGACGTTTCGGTCACCATTCTGCGACCTTTCTCAGGGCGTAATGCTCTGAGGTCTCAAAAATGATGATTTAGAGATCAAAAGTCACAATTTTCTGGTGATTACCATTGGTCTTAGTGTGCCCAAATTCCATACAATGTTGGCATTGTATTACTCGCGCAACTTTTCTTGAACGATAGATTAAAGAAATGAGGGTAGAGTGAGGGTATTAGTTACGTAATCGGCCACTAGACTTTATGAAACAATGCCAGTCTCTGGAGAATCAGTCACACCTTCGAAACTTTCTCAATAATTTGCGTTTTAACTTTCTCAGGAGTTCGAGTTATCTCCTGTGATAGACCTTTACCTGCTTTGGTCATTTCTTTAGATTTTGGAGAAAATAAAGGATAGAATTTCTCGTCTCAAAAAAGAAAATTTGTCTCTATTTCGCGCAAGTGAAGATGCAGTTAGAATATTGTCATCAGTGCTCGCTGCGAGCTTATGCCTTAATCGGTTTATTGTGCCAGAAACAGGAAAGCAAGGTCATCGTTCAAGAGAAGTTGCGCGAGTAATACTGATCCTTGAAATTTTTTCATTCGTTCAGTTGACACCGTTAGGTTACTTCCCAGGCTATTACAAACTTTTAATTATTTTACAAATGTATTTAAAATAGGAATGTCCATGACAAAAATGGGAGGAATCTTATATTATAGGACTGTGTTAACTCTCTGTCGTCAGTATTTAAGTGTCTAAATCTATTGTCTGGAAAGGTAGGCCCTTACTTCTCTCACGATCCAAATTTATTTTGCACTGGCACATTATAAACTATTTGTGAGGGGTCACTTTTTCTGCTTGCAGAACTGAGAACATTTGATGTTCTAGTTACGTAGCACTAACACTCGCTAACTTGTAGGTGAATATTGTTTCCGGGTTAGGGGCTTGATCTGCCAGCGAGTCGGGCTGTATGTCCATGGTCAAGGCAGTGACCTCGGACTCATGTTGTAGATGCGTAGTTTCTTGCTGAATACCAATATCTTCCGGGGTGACATCATTGAGGGAGAAGAAAATTACAACGTAGGTGTTCGATATTATGGTGTGAGTTCTTTGCTGGGCGGCGCGTACTACTTCGGGCGTGTTTGAATTGACTGCGAAGGCCGTTGATTCTCTGTACGATGTTGCACTTTACGGTACGGAAAATAGTATGTAAATAGTACAGCACTTCACTCTTCGGATTTTTCCAAATACTTGGTACGTTTTATAGCTTCCATTAGTAAATAATTGGCGGCAGTATGCAACGGAGCAGACCTGAGCACTGTGTTACAATACCACTTAGTTCCGGCGCGGTTGGTGATAACACGGTTTCGGGTCGCTATTGCACTCTGCCTGGAAGGGCAGAGTTGCGGAGCACTTCCGAACTCGACTGTGGTTCGAATAGAAATGGAGTCAGAGTGTCTTACGTAAACTAGTGACTTTACAAGAAATTCATTAATATAGCAATGTGTTTTTTTTTCCTCCTCTCCAATATTTCTCACAGAAATTCTCTGGAGGCCAGACATTATTTTACATTAACGAGCAGACATTCTCAGATGATTGGCAGGTATGCAAATGCGGTGATTTAAAGAAAAATATCTTAAAACCCAATTCACAAAAATTAATTATTAAGTTCACAAATATCAGAATAAAGCTTAATACTTCATAAAATCAAACTTTAAACATTCCAGTTTTTCATCACAGCAATAATCTGACAATTTTACACTAACAAGAAATCGTTGCCGAAGAATCATTGGAATGCAATTATTTGATTATAAAAAATGCTCAACCGATTCTTGATGATTAAGATAACTTAGAAACATTTTTAGAAACCACGTCTTTTGGCACAAAAATGCAGTAATAATTCTTGCAATATAGGCCAAGGACACTTAGATAGTAACTGTTGCTGTTTTACGAAGGCTAAGAGAAAGTTAGGAAATCATTATTAAAAGAGAAAGGAAAGAGTTTCTTACATCAGATATTAACGATGCACATAACTGAGACCTAAACATCGACATCTTTTTCTCTTCTGTGTTATATTAGAATGTGGTAGAAAACGATTTATACGTGACATACAAATTTACTTTAAAGAAGAATGAAAGCTATGCAACATCAGTACTTGGAAACGTCCATGAATAAGAAAAACATGTGAATATTTTGTAATAAGAAATTAAAATATCATATTTTTAAATATTCCATTATTTTGAGTCATTCGAAATCATTTTCTGAATGTTAGTAGTATGTTTTCAAAAAAAGACAAATGAAAAAAACTACAAATAGTCATACTAATCAACATACTAACTCCAGACTGGACAGTTTTGCAATGATATTTTTTATTTAATAGGTAATTATTACATCTATAAATTAAATAACTTAATACTACGTGGCTATGCCGAAGGCCTTTAAGCCATTACAATACCTACATCGTACCATGTTCTAACATTTCGAATTCTGGTATTGACCCCAAATGGTCTCTCCATTGCATCAAAGCCGCGGAAAAGAAACCATAGGGTACGACTACGGAAAAAACCTGAAGGGGGAAAACCTGCCGTCAGAAACCGAGTACACGCTAATGTATTTCCCAAGGAAGCAGAATTTTAGTTTCCTTTCTTGTTGAGCTTCGAAATACTGGGGGAATCAAGCATTTAAAATGCTCGATTTGTTATTTACTTTAATTTGTTAGTCTTCTTTTATAGATATATTTTATCATGAAGTAAACAAAAAATAAAGGGGGGAATATGGAGTTACGAAGTTTGCTAATTAGCATGACAAAATCCGTCTTGGTTTGCACATTTCAGACTCTGGAAGAATATAAGCCTTTGTTGGGAAAAACTTTTTAATTTCTTCTGCATCTCTGACAAATAGGTAACTTTTCCCAACCTGTAGGAAAGACCGTTTTCGGAAATCAGAGATAATGAATCGTTTCCTCACCTAGTAGCGATAGTGAGTGGAGATGCCGGAAGCTCTGCACTGACCAGCCTCAACAACTTAAAAAGGATGTTCAAAAACAGACATTGTGGCGTTGAACTTCAACGGTGTATCGTGATTGTGAAACAGTGTATTGTATTGTGATCTTCTGAGTGCGGGGCCGCGATCCCACAATAGTAATCGGTAACGCAACATGGCACAACGCAGTAGCCCCGATTCGGGGCTATTCGAAAGCGGTGCTTTAATATGTGCATCACTTAATGTAATACACGATGTTTCGAAATTAGTTACCAAAAAGCAACATGAAATAATTTTTAAACCCTTATCTGATATTTATTCGGATGCTCCTCAAAACCCTTGCTATATTCTCAAGTTTTAATCCTACGCCGTCAGATGTCTCACCAGTTACTCGTTTGGCAGTAACAGTGACACCGCAGTTGTAATGGAGACATATAGCGGTGCGGAACATGCTAAGTATGTTTTGTGATATCACCAATTTTCTTAAAAAGACTGTTCAGCGATGAGGCCACGTTTCACATTAACGGTACCATTAACCGCTACAATGTACGTACATTTGGCACAAAGAAATCCGACGAAGATCTTGGATCACACACGGAAGTCACACGGACACATCACACACGGAAACAATATCTTTGGTGCATTGAGTTCTCTCAAAGTTTACGGACCATTACTTTAATAGAAGACTTAAACACAAATTACATGTCTAGATGTATATATGTAATTCACGTAGTGACATCAAGTTGTAGAACTACCTGATGTCGACAACAAGAGGACATGGGTGAAATTATTTTCCAGCAAGACAGAGTCCCTCCCACATGACCATCGAAAGGTCACAGCTTATCTATCTCGCACTGTTCCTGTTTGGATTGGGCGAGGTGGTACCATATGGTCACCGCAATCTCCCGAACTAACGCATCGAGACTTGTCTGAGGAGATATGTTAAAGACAAAGTACATCCATCCACTTCTTTCAACTATCGATGAGCTTCGCCAACTCATCAATTATGCACAAGCGAGGTAGATTATCTCGTGCATCGGGAAAAACATTTCTTACATAAGGAATATCTGCAGTGTTACAAAAGGTAGACCCTTTGAACATTTGAAGGAAGAAACTTTATGATCTGTCAATTTGTGAAGTGAGAATAATTTTCTTTCAAATGTAAATCTACTGTGCTATTTAATGTTACTTTTAGGTAATTAATTTAGAATCACCCTCTAAATAATGCAGCCTTACTAAGTGATTATGAGTTGTTACTTCAGCGACAACAACTAGACAACCTACAGTAGCAGTTTCATTATCAACAAAAACAAGAACCACTAAATCAAAGATTTCTCCGCCAGGAACAACATTCACAAGAAGAATAACTTTTACAACCACTGCATATAAAAATCAATTGTTACATCAACAACAATTGCAGCAATACTCATTCCAGTATCACTACTCCCAACGTAAACTATCAGCCCAAGATAACGATAACTTTTCAATGAGCAGTTGTATCACTCCTGGCCAGTCAATCAACCGATCATCAAATTCAACTCCAAATTAGAACATCAAACGTGCGGCAAAGTTACTAGCTTTGTACGCCACTGACAGTTAAAGATTCCAGCAAATGGAGGAATTTGAAGACAATGATCATATACAACCATCAAAAAAAACCACCAATCGTCCTTATACAAAGAGATAAACTTTCAAAACTTCATTGACCAACAAAACCAAATACAAAACTTCGAATTTTCCACTGACGTTTGTCCCCAATTCACACAAATTTAAACCGGCGCGATGACTTTTTGCGACGCGATGACCTTTCTACGTTCACATATACATCAAATACCACTCTCACTCATTGCCTTGCAGCAAACTTCCGTAATGTCCCTCCTACCAATAAAAATAACAAATTCTCTGTGCTTTATAAAGTTCAGAATACTCCGAAAAGAAACCATGTACTCCTAGTATCAGTGCTGCTACAAGACGCTGATAAACACAGGTCGATTGATCTCTTGAAAATCTCCTTCCCTGTATCGTCGCCATCTAACAAGAAGTGCACGGCCACTCCCAGTTCAATGCACAAACTGTCAACAGTTCAATCACAGGACAAATAACTGCCAGAGTCAATCACTCTGCGCAACACGTCCGGAAGTACATCACTGTTAAAAGTGCCCTCGGCCAAAGACCGCTCTGCCGACCTGCTCATCACGAAACCTTGAAGCAAGTCACAGAGCCAACGCGTGTGGCCGTTCTACGCTAGCGACAAACCCTCCCTTATCACCTGCTGTCCTCGGCTCAACTGCCTTGTCCCATATGGAAACCAAAACCTTTCACTTCAGTACCAGCACAACAGCAACCATGGCCACTAAAGTGGCACTTCAAGGTCACGAGATGGAAGGAGAGAAGACATCAGTATCCAATCGGAACCTCCAACATTAAAAATTAAAATCGCAAAGAAGTTTCCGATTGGAAGACAGTTTCCCTCGCTTCGTCCACCTCGTGACCCTGAAACACCACTGTGTTTAAATCAAAGAATATCGAATGGTACTGTTGAGTGACCTCTATTCCAACATACTATGGACTTCCTTTTACCTCAAGAATTTCCACCAATCCCAGATCCCCAGGCAGGCAATCATATCCTCAATATCACACGATGTATCAGCCGATCATCGAATTTTATCACCATTCGCCTATTTTCATCCTCTCATCTAAGGCGAAAAATTCTTCTACAACACATTATCTCAGCAATAAAAATTAAATACTGTTACAGACGCCTATGGCAAAACCGAAGACTTCCGTATTCGAAGATATATTGTTCTTACCGAACGTTCCTCTCATATCTTACTAATGTAGATAAAGCACCATAGAGTCGAAATGTTTCCTCCTCTATAAATTCCAATACTTAAAACTAATAATATCAAAGCAGAATTTCTGAAAAAGCGAACGTATGATCCCAACACATTGCCTCAACCTTCACATCTCTCTGCCCTACTACCCAACGTATCGCTGAAATTTCGGATCCCTATCTCCTCAATTTCCAACAGTTCCCTACCCCATCAAATTAATTTCTCCATCTCAAAAGGAATTAATTCTTCCCTAACTTAAATTTTAATTTCCATTAAACTAGTGGTGTTACAACAACGTATTTTTCTACATGGCCTTTTAATTTCCAAATTGTCGGAAACGGGGTAAATCGATCATCGATAATCCTGTGGATAAAAAGAATTTCTTACGGGGCGCACTCAGTCGAATAGGAGACAAATATTCATCGAAAGCCGATGTAACTCGGAGTCCCCAGGGGAGTGTGTAAGGGGCTTTGCTATCTTAGCGTTCATTAATGACATTGCAACTGATTAAAATCAAAAGTTAGACTATTCGCCGACGATTGCATAATATATAGAGTATTGGCTCGTCTGAGGACGAAAATGTTTTACAGAGCGATCTTAACTGTTTATGGAACTGGGCGTGCAGAAATAAGATGGAATTAAATCCGGAAAAGATAAAATTCATTAGCTTTACCTAGTCCGCTCGAACGTACGCTCCAATTATGAATTAGGAACTAACGTTATACCACGTGTAAAAAAACTGAAGTATTTGGGTTGTCCTGCGAAGCGACTTAGGTTGGTCGGATCATATTAACAATACGGTTAAAAAATCCTGGAGAGCGCTGCACTTTGTAATGCGTATTCTAAAAATAGTAGTCCATACCCGATCCCTAGCATATACTACACTTGTTCGTCCAATTTTAGAATACGGAGCGGCATGCTAGGATACAGAAAGGGCAAATCGAAGCGTTAGATAAAATTCAAAAACGGGTCTTAAAGTTTGTAAATCGCGGGTGTGTTGGTGACGAACGAGAAGAATGGGAGTCCCTATCTAAGAGAAGGGAATGGGCGCGTTTATGCGTAATGTATAAGACATACAGAGGGGACACAGCATGGGCAGATATCGGTAAAAGATTACAGAAATCATTATAAAAGCAGAGGAGACCATCCTTGAAAATACGATATAGAAAGCAAAGAACTGATGTAGGCAAGTTCTCCTTTGTGAATCGCACTATAGTAGATTGGAATAAACTACCTGCAGAAGCACTAGAGGCTCTTCTTCTAATGTAGCCAATTTTAAAATATACTTCATTCCATCTAGATCATCTTGAATAATACTGACTGAGACATTTTATCTTATTATTATTATTATTATTATTATTATTATTTATTATTATTATTATTATTATTATCTATTATTATTATTATTATTATATTATTATTATTACCATTACTATTACTATTATATTATATTATTACTATTACTATTATTATTATTATTATTACTTTTATTATTATTGTCATAATTATTATTTTCATGGCCTTATACAGTGAAGTGATGTGGAGTGGAGTGTAGTGAAGGGGAGTGCAGTGTAGTGTAGTGTAGTGAAGTGTTATGTAAACTAGAAGTGATTTAGAGTAGCTAGAAATAAATTGGAACTATTATATCGACCTCTAATTCTAATAGTAAAGCTAATTGTAAATGTTAAAATTGTTTTGTATTTCAATTCTAATTGTTATCATGTTTGCCACCGAGCATTAGCTCAAAGCGAACTTTAATAAATCTATCTATAGCTTCTCACATTATCACAGTTACATAATATTGAAATATTGCAATTTCTGCGCTATTATCACCTCAGCTATTACTTGAAAATGTCGAATTCAACCAATTTGAAAAAAGCGCCTGTGGTGCATATCTGCATTCATTTCTATAGGCAGAATCATTTTATACTTTTACGTATGAAACAAAGAGGAATACATTTAAATGTTACAGTATTTGCAGAACATTATACAGAAAACAAGACCTGTGCCATACACTTAAGCGTCCTTTACGCTATCAGCAGACCAATGAGTTCAATGCAAAGTGCCCCCCCAAAATTAAAATAATGGTTTCAAATTCAAGTTCCCGTGACATCAGCATGATCAATTGGGAAATATTTGTCTGACATCTCTATTTCCAATTTTGAAGTTTTAAAATATAATTTTCCAATTCTCGAGAAACTGGAGATGTCAACAAAAATGAGACATGCATCATTCTCTTAAACGTCTTTTGCACTATTCAATAACAATATTTAATTTACAAAATTGGAGCTCTTTTTTTTTGAAAATTTTGAAAACGTCCCAGAGGCTTGGTATAAAGTACCCCCAAATCAAAATTTTGATTTCAAATTTCAGGGCCCACGATATCAGCAAGAACAATTGGAGAAAATCAATTTTGGTGAAAATCCTTCTGACGGTTAAGCAACTAACGTTGCTCAAAGACACGGACGGGTGGACAGCCAGACATTTTGCCGTCAGACAAGTTTTCGGTGTCAAGGGCCCACACAATATGTACTCTGACTACACGTGATAGAGAACCTAATTCACGATGTGAAGGGACAAGATTTATGCATTTTTTTGTTACCCGGCAATATGGGTTTTCCGTAGGAATTTTGCAGCTTTTCCCGTAGCATTACAATACTTATCGCGTAAGCAGAGTGAGGAAGTAAAAATCTCACGGTCATGAACTTCTCTCCCAAGTGATCATCAAAAACTCAAAGAGAGCCGTTGTCCACCTCCCCTCAATCTGTAAGTCAGCACTCCGTTCGGACACTTTCCCAAATCCTGGAGAGACGGCATAATCATTCCCATTCTTAAACAAGATAAATCAATTAAAATCTTAAATCTTCCTCCCCCACGAGTTATCGCCCAATAACCCTACGCCCTTTTCTATCCAAAATCGTATAAAAATAAACCCAAGTTGACGACACAAATACCTAATGACAATAAATACACATCTCCCATACCTATTCGTGCTTCCACAAAATTTGTGTTGCGACTCTCAGAACATATCATTCAAGAATTCGACCGACGTCACCATAAGGCGTTCGACATTCCTAGGTATAAACTAGAGCATTTGACTTCATCTGGAATTTCGGTCTTCTCTACAAACTTTATCACCCCAATATCTCTACAATATACTACAATACTTTCTTGAATGATAGCACTTTCTCATTCCAAATAGGAAATGCTCTCAGTGCATCATCGCCCATTGAATCTAACGTACCACAACAGAGCGTTCTAGTTTCGAATTTAATGTACACTTTTCACCCTTGCTCACAGATAGTTAATTTATATCTACCTCTTTGCTGATCATACTGTTCTATTTTACTCTTCTCCCGACACAGGTATCACAGTCTCCAACTCACAATACGAACTTACAGGTCTGAAAACCTGGTGCCCCAAATTGTGCACTCATCTACATCTCTCCAACACACAATCAACAATCTTTCAATTACGTACTTCTAAACCTCTAACTCCGTTAACGTTCTGAAACAACAGTCCCCAGGCATCCTTCTGCGCAAACATAATTATATTATTAACATAGCTAGGTGTTCTTTTCTATCGACAACTCATCTGTAATTTCATTATCAAACACATCCGACAAAAAGAGTAAGGTAAAGTAATTTATATCCACCCCTTATCAATCAAGGGCATATTCTCACTAACATTAATTTCTTTCCATCATCCTATTCAAACCATCATCTAGCCAACTCTGATCCATTACACTTCCCAAATTAGTCCAAGCTTCTCCATCACCTCCATTACCTTTAGACAGTCCAAAATAATTCCTCGGGAAAATAACTTACGCTCTCCGGTTTTTTGTGACTCGCAAATTCAGAGACCTCGGCATCTTACTTATAATGAAAGGCAATCATCCTGAACTGAGCCTCCGGCAATCTACCATCTACACCAAACTACTCCGTTCTACTAGGAAGTATCTCCTCACTCTGCGCGAGAATCTGCAAAACATTCCCTAGAGATAACTTACCCTCCTGAAAACCTAACGCCCCATAAGAACTCTGTCACAGGTCTCCACCATTACCCAACAACCCAATGAAATCTCTTCAAAACTCACTTTCGCGAGACCCCAATTAGTTAGTTCATGCTGCAGTATTGTTGTAGAATTCTGAAACTAACCAAACGAAGCTACACTTGTAAAGCGAAATGTGAATCAGTGAAATAAACATTTAAAAGCCAACTAATGAAACTGTGTCTGTCAAAAATTTGAAGAGGTTTCCAAAAACATTTTTTGTAGCACAAAATTCATGAATTCGCATAAACGTTTTAGGTTAAAAGTACGGTGTCATTCCGCTCGCAGATGCATGTGGTCGTTTTCCAAGTTCTCGCGAAAGTGAGCCGATTCCCTTACATTCGTTGCAATAAGGGAAAAGAAACATTTATTTTAATTTTTATTTCGACCACTATTTATACGCATGCCCTCTCATTTATTTTGTGGAATCACAATCTGAAATAAATAAATAAATAAATAAATGTATTAGTTAGCACTATTTTATGGAATAATGTCTTACTGAAATTAAATATCTTCTTGCAGTTTAATTGGAATGTAATTGATTTTTACAGGTCAGTGACACGATGTATTTCTACTATGCTATTAAAATGTTAGATCTTTTTGACACAATTTTTATCGTGCTGAGAAAGAAGAGGAATCAATTGACGTTCCATCACATCACTCATCACGTCTCAGTAGCTATTGCCAGCTGGGTTGCGTATCGACTCTTCCCAGGTTGGTCAAATTTCATCTAAGCTATGGAACCTTGCTACCAGAATATGCAATCAGGCATAATAATTTAAATGTCTTCTAAATAGTACTCGTTTGTCCTTACTATTTTACTTAATTACTTATTAACTAACGTTTACAATTTTACTTCGATACCTAATTACTTATTTGAACTAATTTTACTACTTTTGATGAAAAGTAATTTTAATAAAACAGTTGTAATGGTCATACTCATAATAGCAATTCACAATCTTAATAACAAGAAACGTTTCATTTTCTTTTAGGCGGAGCTATGTTATGGGCGTCAGGGATCCAAGCTCTGGCGCACGCTGTTGTATATTTTTACTATTTTGTGTCAGCTCATCAAATACCTGGCGTTTTCTTTCTCAAACCTTACGTCACTCTCATTCAAATGGTAAGTGCATGAATTGCGTATGTGTATTAGAATGCCACACTCATTATCACTGAATGCTTCAACATGGTCGAATGCATTTTGGAGAATTACAGGTATATTGAATTTCTCAATTTATAGTTTCTCAGACCTAAATCATTAAATGTGTGTATAAATCCGGAGCCATTTAAATTGCTCTGAAAGGTTCACTGAAATACCTAAATTGCAGTCATATGCCAGTTGTCAGTTGTGTGGCGTACCCAAGTATATGTACTGTAAATTTGTCAGACTCCATCTCGATTCACCATATAGATATTATTAATCCAAAATTTCTCAGAACACAGAACAGTATTTTGGAATGTCTCCATATGGATAAAATCGAATAAAAGAACAAAAAACTAAATTATTTTATACAAAATTTATCACCTCGATAAAGGCTTTTATCTTTCTTTCATAAACCAAATAATACCCTGCTCCAATCGTCAGTCTGTGTTACTAATGCATGCACAACTTATCATTCTTCTCAGCTGCTTCCATTTCCCAGATCTTTCTCGCCTCTCCATCGCATCATCAAGACTCCAGAGCCTAATTCTACTAGTCGATATTACTTCTAGATTCCCCAAGTTTAACTGTCTCAATTTCTTTCGAATAACAGAGTAACCAAAAGCTCCCGTTTCAAAAAATACTCCAGATTCTATGTCGCCGTTCACAAAGACTGCCAGATCCAGTTTTTTCGAAACAATGTAAGGCCATATTCTAAATTGAAAATAATCCCTGATAATATGTTTTAGTGGCAATATTATTGCTCTCTTGAATTTTACCTCCCCCGTACTGGATCGGTCTTAATCTTGACGTTTAAAAAATAAATGTAAATTGTAATAACTAATAAATAAATGTAATTTGTTGAAAGAAAATTTGGAAGGAAAAACGTCAAACTCCAAGTGCGCTATTATTCCTTAATTACATTAAAAATTCTGGTAGAAGAAAGTCAACAGACGGCCATTGTTAATCAATTAACCCCTTGAACGCATATGTAAAGTAGAAAATGTTCAACAGAATTAATTTGATTTCACAATTTAAAATACACACAAGGATTGTTGCGCATTGTCAATTATTCAGCAGGAGGATATTTAATTTGACCCGTGTTAGGGCAACAAAACTATAGAGACGAACAATCAAAAGCGAAATCTTCGTTTAAAAACGTCTCTTCATACATATCTTCTCAAACAAACTGAAGTCTGTAATATTCGTGTTATCATTCTAATATTATTGAAATTTTGTAATCTTCGCGAATATATATATATATATATATATATATATATATATATATATATATATATTGCAAATGTATAGTGTTCATAACTGACGTATTTCGTTCATTCGAATGTTATCTAAATTTAGCGTTTCACAATATCTTATTTCATTAGTGGTGAGAATTATTCAGTAATAATTTCGAAAACTATCACATTCATTGAAAGGTCACCCCCATTAACAGACATTTATTTGTATATTCGGGACATTAATTTTTTGATGAGAGACACGTGAATATTCGCAGTGGCCTATTTATAGTTATCTGTGTCCCAATTTGTACGTATGATCAGGCCAGATTTTTATTTATTTTTACAAACCCTACAAAAACAATGTTGAATACAAATGTAGCACTAATTTTCTTTTCATGTTGCCACCATAAATGTTTGTTCTTGAAAACAGTCGTGTGTAAAATTTATAGTGACTTTTTTCTTTTCAACAGGCGCATTTTGTGATTGTAACAATTGTGATGACAATCAACACTGCCAATATAACCTGCGAGCAGCCGGTCTTGTTTCTGTTAGCCAACATTGTCTTTAACATCATCAACTTTTTTCTCTTCTCGGACTTCTACCAAACTGCCTACCTCCATCAAGGCCACCAAGGATTTGTGAAACAGAAAGAATGGTAAATCTGGATACGGTCGAGTGATCATTTCTGTGAGTAGCACAAGAGGATTTCCCAAGGAGTTACTCATTTGAACGGGGGTACTGAAATTTTGCACTTCGTATCGGAAGGAATTTCTTTACTTTTTGTTTTCAGAACTATTCAATATAACTAAGTCGCTGAAAAGTATAACTACAAAAATATATAATGTTTTCTTTATTATTTAATAAATATATTTTAAAGATAAAAACTACAGAGGGTATGTATGAGTTTTATGATTCTTATAAACCACCATTTTGAGATAATACACTCAAACCAAAACTCATTCTCGGCTTTTCGTTATGTTTCTATTTTTAAAATTTATTTATTGCCTATTTATTACCACCTTTTTCTTTGTCTTCCTTCACATCTTCATCCTACACTTGGGTCCCACTGGGCGACTGCCTGTGTGCATCATTCAGGACCAAGTTGGCTGATATGTCCTCCCCTTTTCCATTTTAATATTTTTGCCTCTTGAGCTGCGTCTTTTAATTTGATCTTTCTTCTAATGACAACATTTGTGACTCTGTCTCGTAGATTGATGTTCAACATTTTCCTCTCCATTTTTCTTTGACATGTCTATCATATTTGCTGTTTTACATTAATAGACCATGTTTGTGCTCCGTAAAATAGGACTAGTACCACACACAGCTGTCCAATGTTTGTCATTCTATTGATAGTATGCCTTCTTTTTTGTTGTTCAATGTAAATGGACTGAATTTCTGCCAGGCGTTAGATATCCGAATATTATTTTTTTTATCTTGTCTCTTTTGGAATGACACTATTTGTCCCAAATACACATGTACTTCAACGTAGTATATTGTACTGTTATTTATTGTGATGGGTATAGCTGCTCAGTTTGTCATCATTTTAGTTTTGGTAGTGTTCATTCGTAAACCTACATTATTGTACAAACCCGATATATCATTAAAAGCATCTTCCAGACCTTTTAGGAATTTTGCGAAGATTATTACGTCGTCTGTAAATCTTAAATTCTTTTATTTTCTTCCATTTACGTTTAGATCAATTTCGTTTTTGAAAGACTGATTCTAGTATACTTATGCAAATATTCGGTGATAAGGGATTCCTTTGGCGTACACTCTTTTGCAGTTTGAATATTGGTCGTTCTAACGCAGTCTTTACTTTTGTCCAGCTATTTGTATACCTTTTACATAAAAGTATAGCATATTTTTATTAGCACCTTGTGTAGTTAATGCCTGTATAACTGCAGGGTTTTCAATTCTGTCGAATGCTTTAATGAAGTGTATAAGTGACGAATATATCTTGAGGTAACATTCTTGAGCTTTTTCTACAAATTGGTTGACGACTTGATGGTGGTAGATAGAAGGAAAGTGTGTGCGAAATCTCCTTGTTTCGTAGGCTGTTCATTGAAGACGTTGCTGATTATTCTATTGATTATTATGGAGAATAGATTTTAAATACATGGCAATAAACTTATTGGTCTGTAATTGTTTGTATCGTTTCTGTTTACTTTTTTTGTGAATCAAGATGGTAGTACTTAATAGCCACTCTTTTGGAAATTCTTCTTTTTCAAGAATGAGGTTATACAGATTTATGAGATGAAGTCGTAGGCTTCCGCGGCCGGATTCATGTGGGTGATCTGGGCTGTCCGAGTGACGCCGCGTCGAAGGCTGTATTGCCGACGTTTCGACCATCCTGTGCGGAAGACCACAACAGGATGGTCGAAACGTCGGCAACAGAGTCTTGGACGCGGCGTAACCCGGACAGCCTAGATCACCCACAGATTTATGAGAGGTTTGAATATCACATCTGATCCAATTTTCAGAAGTTCATTTAGATTCCGTCTTCTTCTGGAGCCTTCTCCATTTTGAGTTCTTTCAGAGCTGCCTCGATCTCACACAGCAAAATGAAGGGTGTCGATTCATTGCTTCTAACTGTAGGATCGGTTATCATATCTTTTATTTTTTCCATTGATGTACTGTAGTTATCCAATGAACTGCTGTAGATATTTTCATAGAAAGCTGTTGTCTATAAAACAATTTTATTTCTATTGTGTGTATATTCCTTTCATCCAATGTTTTCCTTCACTCAACTCACGTTTTATTGTCTTTACAGACTTGGAAGTGTTCATTATTTCTTGTATGATTCTGTTTCCGCACACTTAAATCTTTCCTTATTTCACGTTTTACTAGCTTGTTGAGCTCTGTATATTCAATTCTCAAAATTGAATTTTATTACTGTTGTTTAATTCTTTCTCTTCGATCTCTTACTAGCAATGTTTTTGTGCTTAATTTACTTATTTTCTTTTCACTGTCTTTCATTGATGATATTAAGGTGGCCTTCCTTATTGAATGTTCTATGTTTGAGTAAATTTCTTGAATATCGGTTCCAAGTTGTTCTAGTTGATAAGAGATTGGTTCAGGTGTGATACATATGTATTTTATCTATAGTTTCTGTCATTACATGAACATCTTTGTGGTTTCTCATTATTTTTTCTATAATAACTGTTGTCCGTACTAGCCTATGATCTGTTTCAAACTTCATTTTGCCCCCTACTTCTAAGTTTCTTATGCTTGATATTTTGTCAGAAGTCTTCAATACGTGTTCTCTCATCGGGACTACACGCGGTCCATTATAAGCAATATGTGCAATTTTAAAAAATAACAAAAAAAAAAAGATTTTCTCGAGAATGGTTACAATTTTTTCTTTAAACTTCTGTTAGTTATAGTGCTAAATTTGCAAATGGTAGTCTGTTAAAAACATATTATTTTTATCTGCATATCTTTGGCCTATTCTTTGCATTACAGACACTTGTACTACAAAAACGAATTAAAAACAAGTTATTAACACATATTAAGTTTATTCAACTTCATCCATGTGTTTAAATCATGACAAAGTTAACAACAAATTAACAACACGAGTATACAAAGTCAAATTTGGGAGGTATTGTTTTCTTTTTCGTCCTTTTTCACTACGCGTTTCGAACAGTCAAAGTTCTTCATCTGATGCTTTGCATAATTAGAATTTAAAATAAAATAAAAAAATAAAAACACGACAATCACTACATAGCTTAGAAATGCATATTAACTAAAAATATTGAGTACATTCTACAAGTAACATAATGTATTTGTGCTTATATATTAACGACGTAGTGAAGTAACAACTTGATAACTAGTGGTGCTACAGAATGGCTCAGTCTTTCTTTAAAAAATACATACCCCGAATAAATACCCCGCAAGGAACTTTACAATATATTAACAAGAGCAACTAGCACTATCCATTAGAAAATTATGAAGAAAAAACTTTTTTAAGAAAATGGCTTTTATGTGTTTCTGAAATTGCGGAATTTTGAGCTAGTTTTGACAGAAAACGGTTGAGTTTACGAGGAGCTTTACATGACACTTAAAACATGTGTACTCATAAATATAATAACGTGAGCGAAGCGAATTTCTGCTAATGTAAATATTAACGACGTGAGAGACAAGTCAAACCAATTAAATTTTTGTAATTTTTTAAAAATGTAAAGAATAGAGCAATATGGCGTTTATGTCGTCTTATAGAGTGCATTTAGCACAACCCTTTCCAAAAGATTAAAGAAAAAATTTTAAGCGGTTTTTAAGAAAATCTGGCAATATTGCACGAATACTACTTAAATTTTCAAAAAAATGTACTTAACCTTAATGAAAGAACAAATTTTGGACAACAAATTTTATTTAAAGAAAAAAACTATCTTTAATTTTGTTGTAGCAGGAAGACCCAGAAAAAATCGAACTTTTGACATTTTCGAAAATTCAAAGTTAACCGTGAAAATCTGACCTATACCACATTTATAAGTGCAGTTAACTCTATTCTTGTAAGAAATTTAAAAACAAAATTTGGAGCGATTTTTTGAGGAAATTTTGGATATGTCCCAGGAGGTTGATGTAAAGTACCTCCAAAACCTAATGAATGATTTTCAATATCGCAGAGTTTTGATTGAGGCTAAATGGACAAGAGTTTCTTCAATTCGAAAAAAATTCCTTAGCATGGTTTAGGCGCTAGTGTTGCACCCGACAGACGGACGGACGTTTGAAAAACATCTTTTCGGTATCAGGGAATCCCGAAAAACAAAACGGGGAATCTCGAAATGGATTTTCCGCATCATTACATACCTTTCACTATATTAGTTATGTTACTCCGTATATACGTACGTATACGGGAAAGTAAAAACGAAGATCACATGCTCTTACAATGCCTTTTTCGTTCTCCCATTTGATTAAGTATTGTAGCGTCTTTGCCGGGGCAATAAATCACAGACGTGAACGGTTTGTAAATTATTAAGTATTTATTTGAAAAAATTCTCAGCAACCCTTGGAATACTATGTACAATAATTACAATAAACAATATTGACCGTTACTAAACGGAATGGTTCCGCTGGTTACCAGCGCCGGCGTTGGCCTATAAATTCGATATCATATTCAGTGTGACTGCACCAGTAGCCTACTGTGAAGCGTAAATGCACTTATGCCGCACTTCCTCCTCGACGTAGCACGTAGCACACGTCCGGCTTCAGTCGCTTTGCCTAGTAGCGTAATACAGTTAAAATGCAGCGGGCCGCGCACAACCACACGACTTCCTACCGACGCGCCCAAGAATCAGAAGAAGGAGTTTAGGTCCGGGGTCCGTTTATGTTCCCTTCTGGGCCGGCTGACGGAACGCCGCTGCTAGCCTGCCTACGGGCTTCCCAAGTCGCCACCCACGACACGGCACCCCTTCCCTTCCGCTCACTAGGTTTGCCGTTGTTCAGCCCAGAGTCTCTTCCGCCAGCGCTGTCCAGAGCATGAAATACACGTGGCTGATATTTGGTACGTTTGTACAAGGCGACTGATATGACGCCACACTATCCTAACGTTGATGAAGGTGTGTCTTTCGTTTTGTTTACTGTCTCCTGTTAGCATCCTAATCTTCGTTTCTATGAAGTTGTTACCTCGCTACGACTGTAATGTATAAGCATAAATACTCGCACATTGTGTTACTTTTAAATTGTACTCAATCTTTTTAGTTAATTTGTCTTTCTCAGCTATTTACTAATCATTGTGTTTTGATTTTAGTTTGTAATGACTTATTTATTTTAAATTCTAGTTATGAAGAGTACCTGATGAAGAGCCTCGACAGCTCAAAACGCATTGTGCAAAAGGAGGAAAAGGAAAACAACACCGCCCAAATTTGACATTGTATACTTGTGTTATTGATTTGTTGTTAATTTTTTCATGGTTTTAATACACGAATAAAGTCGAATAAAGTGAATATGTGTTAATAACGTGTTTTTAATTCGTTTTTGTTGTACAACTGTCTGTAATGCAAAGAATGGGACACGGTTATATAGATAAAAGGTAGTGCTAAATTAACGCTATGAGATGACATAAACGCCACATTACCCTATTCTTTTGTTTTTCAAAAATTTCAAAAAAGTAATTTCCTGACTAACCTCTCACGTCGCTAATGTTTACATAAGCGGTGATTTCTTCACACTACTGCATTTATGAGTACATGCTATTTTCATGATTGCTTTTAAAGTTTTTTGAAAACCTAATTTTTTCCAAAAGATAGTTCTACTTCGAAGTGTATGTTTATTCTTCGACAGGTGTGCGCCAGTCAGAATCACACATAAGTAATTTTGTTTAATTTTTCGAAAAAAAGGATCAGAGTAACAAAATCATTGTTGGTGTAGTTTCTTAAAATAATGTTTGGTTCTGGTTGTTGGTTAAACGTTAGTGCAAACCGTTGATAAGTTTACTTCTTACGAGGAATTATGTGCCGCCAAAAGTGTTGGTTTTTGATAGTCGTGTGAGCACAAAATTAATGTGCCGATCCGAATGGGTGAGATCGTTAAGGCGGTATTGCCGTCGCGATCTCGGGCCGAAGGCTCGCGAGTTCGAGTAGACTCGCGCATGGATGTATTTGTGTTCGTTCTTTATAAAAACGTAAAATAAGGCAAATTCAATTCAATTCAATTCTTTCACACGTATCATCACCACATTATGTCGTCTTCATAGTTATCATACCGTTAAATACAATAGTGCTTGCTGATGACCTAGATGTTGATGCGACATTAAATAACAAAAAATAATATTTATATATTTGTAGAGCAAGGAAATAGCGCAATACTTTGCATATAAAGAAAATATTTTTAGCCATTATATGACCCGTAAAGGGCAATTGACCTCGACGCCTTTATATTCTTGGGTTCTTAATCTGTCACCCAAACAGAAACTCGCGATGACTCGAATGCGCTCTACCTTCGTGACTTCACGTAGTTAACCGATTGGGTTATCGGCGCGCTGCTTTCGCGGTCGTGACCTTTCAGTAGAACCATCCCAACATTCGCCTGGATGACTGAGGGTAACGACGAAACCCCGGTCAGGATGGCCACCAAGGATTGAACATGGGCCTCCCAAATGCCACGTCAGCGCGCTAGGGCCCGAGCCACTTCCATCATAATTAAAAAGACCTAAAGGAGTTTAAATTTTAAAAAGTGTAATATTTTATTCTTCTCGTTTCTTCAATTGTCATCAACTCGAAAAAATTAATTGTTTAACATATCACCGAGCGAGATGACTGTGCGAAGAGCGCTGAATCCAACGGGAGGTCCGGGTTCGATCCCCGGGCAGGCCATCATGACCGAGTTTTTTCATGGTTTCCCTTAATATAAGATGAAGGTCATAAGGTGAAGACTGGAATGGTTGCAAACTCCCACGAACAACTGACACTACCTCATCTACACTCTCCCTCCATCGTCCTAGTCCTGTCACCCCTATCACTTTAATAATAATAACAACAACCACAACAATAAGAATGTGTGTCTCCGTATCTTTGTGTGTGTCTACATCATCACCATTATTTCATCTCATTCCTTAGAGCTTACAACCATGGGATGTAAGTAAAAACGGTATCAGCATTAAATGCTGGTCCCGCCCTTAGAAAACGTAACGTGTACCTACCCCGATAATTATGACTGAGCCACGGTGGATGCACGTATTCCTTGGTCTCATGATGGCCGATTCCCGAAACAAAAATAATAAGTAATAATAAATAACAAATAATAATATATCCTTCTCAAGTTATGTTACACTCTCACAGTCCTAGTTTAGTCGACTTTTGGTAAGCGGAAGCCGTGACTGATAACACTTCCGTGTGGGAAAACATACAATACTGGCGAGTTGCGAGTGAAAGGATCGAAATTACAAAATCCGAGTAAGTTACTAAATTAAAATATTGATTTCAAATTCAAAGGCCAGCAACAACAGCCAGATCGATTGGGGGATATCATTTTGGGTGAAAATCCTACTGATAGTTTAGCCCTTGACGTTTAGATATTATCCAAAAAACAGTAAAAACTGTATGTGACGTTTGGAGGAGAAGATCTGCGCACGTTTCCTTTAGTTCCTTTACACGTACCTTTAAACTTTTGCCAGAGATATTGCTCAATGTATTGTAAGAGATAACGCAAATGCCATTTTGCTTTACTCTTCTGTTTGTCGAAAAGTACAAAAATGTATTTTTACTTTTACGTATACATACGTATATACGGAATAATATACGTATTGTAGGAAAATCTACGTACTGCTGCAGAAAATTGATTTCGAGATTGCAACGGAAATACGTTTTGGGGGTCGCTGATAACCAGAAAGTGTTTTATTTCTCAAAACGTCCGTCCGACTGTTTGTGAACACCACTAGCGTCTAAATCATACGTGCGATTTTGTCTAAAAACGATATCCCCTGGTCGATCTGGCTCCATTCGCGGCGTTACGATTTTGAAAAACTTTTTTAAACATTTGGGTGTACTTCACATAATGCCCTCTGAAAATTATCTGAAAAAACTTTCTTTAATATCTACCTCGCTGGTAATATTTACATTAACAGCACTTTGCATATATTATTTCATTTGTAAGAACAATTTCTTTTGATGCTTTCTTATGACGTTCCTCGAAAAATCCTAAGTGAGAGGTGAAAATTAGCTTCAAACTGCACATTTTCGGAAACGCTCAAACGACATTTTCTCTAAAATGGCTCCACATTGTTCATCTAAAATTGCCATATACAGAGTGTCCCATGATAACTTGAAATAGTAGCTCATAATCCACATGCGAGTGTTCGAGAAATATCTCAACAATCAGGGATTCCTCGTATGAGTGTTTGGAGATACTGAGATACATAATTTCATCCGTATCACGTATCTTGCATCAGGATTAACTGGAAATGAATTTCAAAACGACTACAGTTTTTGTCATGGCTGTTCGAGAATAAACTAATCCGAAATGTTTACTCAAGTCTTTCTCTGCATGAATGCATTTACAAAGCACGGTGAAGTTAACCGCATAACATGCATTTTGAGTGTAGAAGCGCACACTGGATTCGTAAGTAAATCATAGCACCTTGGTGGTTCACGTTTGGTGTGGAATAATTGGCGATAACTTTATCGGACCGATACTTCATTGACGGAATTAAATGTGAAAGTACGGAAACTTCTTGAAAAGAATACCTGAGATGGTCGAAGACGTACGTTTGAGTGCGAACACATCCGATTTCAAATGATGGTTTGCCAGCACATTATCATTATAGCATGCGGGTTATGGATGGGATTAATAATCGTTGGAGCGGTGAGAAGGACGCAGTGCACTGGGGCCAGGCAGGATCAACTAGACCTTACCTCTCATATTTCTTTTTGGGTGGGGTTACTAAAAGATGTCGTTTAAAGAACACGCTACTATCGTGGGAAAACATGATGAACGGATAAGGGACTCTTGTGCCGCTATTAACCCAATTGCTTATCGATGTGTTGTTCATTTGTGGTTTACAAGCAATATGATTGAGATTTAGGGCCATCTTTTGAGTACTTACTTTAAATTACATGCTGGAAGGTATTTGTAGTCATCTAAACAAGCACCCAATACATGAGAGGCAAGGGGGACCCTGAAACAAGCCCCGAAGGGACATAAAACTACTACGTCCACGTCGTTGTTTCTGGGTTACGCTAAATGTGTTTATTGACTTCCGTAGAAAATACTGATTTTACTAACTTCAGAATATCAACCAGCTCAACCAGAGCAAATTACAGTTTGGAAATCTGTAATCATGTTTTTGCGATTACAGCTCCAGTATGCACAAATGCAGAAAAAAATGTTCAGACAAAACTTATGTACTTTTGTCCGTAGAATCGAATCTGGAATAAAAAATAGGGGAGTTTCTCTTTAAGATTTCAATGTTGCCCACGGCCTAACCGCTGGAGAGGGGGTGCAGATTTTAGCATAGATATTCCCTTAAGACTGTTAAGATTTGGTTTCGGGCTAATTTTTCGTAAATCGCGTAATTTTTTTGCAGTTATTTCAGTATAAGTTTAAGTTGGAACACCCGTAGAACGAGATATTATCTTTTTATATTTTTGAAGTTGGCGTTTAGTTTATTTTTGGAGCCAAATATTACGCTATTTTGTTTCATTAGAGCGAAAAATTAGAGTAAATGAAAAATGTATTTTGGCGGGGAAGATTGTAGCTGGGTAGAGGGAGAGGAAACGGTAAGCTGGAAAGAAAGCAGACGCAAAGAATTAGAAACTTACTAGTACGAGAAGTTGGCATCTGTACATCTATAGTAGTTTTTAGGAATTTCTTCTTTCGGCTATATTATTTTGTGTAATTTTTTCCCTGTATGAAACATAGAGGCGATCACTCAGGTGAATGACAGTTTAAATAACACATTCAAAAATGTGGATCAAAAGGGTAAACACGTCTTACGTAGTGCATTCAGTGCTTTAGTTCCACAGCTTGCTAAATATTGCAGTTCACAAGTTGCGTGGGCTAACTAACAGTGGTTTTCCGAGTGAACGAACTGACAAATGCCTCCGGGTTGCAGTATGATACGTGGGCGGCAGGGGAGAGCGGAGGGGTGGGAGTGAGGCGGCCTATTAGCCGGCCGTAGCTGTTGTGTCTACCGCCGCTGCCACGACGCTGCCATGCTGCTGCTGCTGCTGCTGCTACCGTTCGGAAGGCGGGGCCGCAAACACGTGTAGCACGGCCGCGTTTTCTCTGGGAAAGCGTCAGCGCGGGGGACGGATGGCATGCGCTGGGTGGGGGTGGGGGGGGTCGTGGGAGCGACCGGTGCGGACAGCCGATGAGGATTGCCTGGGGGTGGGGGTGGGTGGGGGGGCGGGACGAACATCCGGAGGGCGCAGGGTCAACGTGCCATTTGTGCAACGCGACCACCCCCAAAAGGCGCCCCGCCCCCTCGGCGCCCCGTGAGCGCGCCGGCGCGGCGCT